CTCTACTTACCCTAAGGGTCCAAGGACCCAAATAATAGGGTTTTAGGGCCCAAATACCATGAATACTATAGTATTTGGGCCCTAAAACCCTATTATTTGGGTCCTTGGACCCTCAGGGTTAAAACCTCACGGCTTTAGTGACCTGGGTGTTGCGAGATCTTTGTTGTCAGCATTCTTGTGAATGTCATGCCCGGCCTCCACAGGTAGTTTGATAACATTGCCCCAAACCCCTGAAATGTGGAAAAGGCCATCATTCCACGGTAGCAAATTCTCACCGACATGGCACACTTCCCTGCAAAACCCTAAACCCTAGCTTGTCTTCTCCGAGCCATGTCGGTAGGGCTGGTCTCTTGCAAGAGTGCTGCTGACATGAAGTTGTAGGCCTGGGGCTTCTTGGGTTTGGGGTTTAGGGTTTAATGACAGATCCTGACATCCTATAATCCTGAAACCCTACAACCTGAAACCCTCAACCCTATAATGTAGGGGCCACCAAAAAGGGGTCCCCCAATGTCGGAAACCCTGATTCGCACTCCCTCGTGGATGCTGTCTGGGACCGCTGATGCCACCCGGTTGACCGCCACGGCCGTCAATGCCGGGATGATCCGGGGTAGAGCATGAGAAGCCTGTGCAACAGATCCAAGTAGGAAGAATGAGGAAACATCGACTGCTTTCTTGGTGGGGGACCACTATGGGCTATTAGACCTTAAGGGTACCTTAATCTACCCTTAATAGAGGGAATTTTAGGGTCTAATAGCCCATGGTGGGAGATGCCCACAAACTGCTTCTTAGTTCGCAGCCTCCAAGCCCGCGGTGACGACACGCTGACCACTATTCGCAGGCGTCCCGCTGGGTTGCCAGGGGATGAGTTGCAAAGCCTTTGTCTGCCGCTCAATCAGTCTCCGCTCTTCATCATACTCCAAAATGGCCTGGTGCTACGAGAGTTTTGGTTGCAGTCAGGGTATTGACACTGTCATAATAGTGATAATATAACGAATATTTCCAATTTGATGAAACATTGCTACAACTTCAAGACAGGTCAAGCCCCTTTCACTTCAAGGCTGTGGAAGGAGTGTCGCATTGAGTCCTCAGACCTTCCAAGAGTTTCAGCGGCAGTTCGCGGTTGAGCGTTTAGGGCATATTTTTTAGGGTCTAGGGCTCAGGGTTCAGGGCTTAGGGTTGAGGGTCCAGGGCTTATGGTTTAGGGCTTAGGGTTTAGAATGTTCCCTCCTCCCCTAGTGGTGCATGTCAAGTTGTGTCCGCAGGGCTGCGGTTGATTGCTGTCCGCAGCCACGACAGGCAGCCACGACAAACTAAAACGAAAGCCCAGCAACCCTGCAACCAGCCCCAAAAAAGAAATCCTACGGTGGAAACTCCAAGTCCTGCATGGCCCTCACTACCCTAAACCTTGGGAACTGTGGTACGATAGTTTATTGAGGTCAAGCAGGATTTTCACATCAGCAGTACACCACAAAACCCAGCCCCCCTCCCCCTCCCCGCCGCCACTTCGGCAAACTTCTGAAGGCTGGAGACACTGGACTCCTGACACATGGCTGTGCTGAAGGGAATGGGCATGGAATGCATTGAAAGTATTGAAAGTACAGAGTACTTAGGCGTCAAGCAGACAGTTAAGGGGAATACCAGAAAATCAGAAAGCCCCTTCTAGGAACTTATAAACACAATTTCATATAATCCATAAGAAGATCTTACTCATATTCTTTAGGCTGCTATAGCCTATATTGAGAAGCTCCCTTGGTACATCTTCCCCTGTAGGCCTAAAAACCAACAATGACCCGGCTTATTGATGGCAGCTGGAGATTAGGAACCAGCTCGATCGTCTAAGGCCCAATATAAAATACTCCGCGAACACACCTCTTCCTTCTTCAGCTTGCTTCTGTGCTTGCGGCTGATGGAAGCTGATGAGCTTCTTCAGCCAAGCAATCTGTCAAATCTGAGGCCAGTGCTCAGCTCTGCATGATAGACCTTAATCATGAGCCTCGAACCCATTGCCCCTAGATCTTGGGAGGTCTATACAGAGACTACTGAACAGGTTCACTCACCTCTTCCCAAATAAGATAAGCACCCTCGACCCTAAACCCTGAACCCTAACCCCTAAGGAACCAAAACTCTGCTACTTGTCCGCATGCCTCCTCGTTCGTCGCAGCTGGCCTGCAACACAATAGGAGCTTTGAACTGCACAAGTTTGGGGTCGAGGGCTTGGATCCCTTTCTATATGAGCCATAGTCTAAACTCCTTAAGGGGGGTTATATAGGGGATTATATAGGGAACTACTATAAGGGTTATTAAGGGGGATACTAGGAGTTTAGACAGTAGCTCATATGGTACTCGTGGAAGGACTTTGCTGTTATGGCGGCGGGTGTGTTTGAGCGGAGGCTCACATGGAATCTACAGCAGCTTCTCCAAGTCAATTATTGATGCTCTACCCGAGTAAAGATTGAATTGTTTCTAATTACCTACTCCACGAGCCAAAATACCTAAACAATAGGTGATTGGACACAAAAAGGACGCATCTGGAAACTACCTTGGGCCCAGATAACTGGCTGTTGACAGCCCTAGACCCCTGGGTTTCAGCCGGGGGGTGCTCGAGCACTCCAAAAACATCTACAACATGTACTTGGAATAGGGTCTTCTTGATGTAGATGTCTACCCTTATAGTATATTCCCGAGGTTCTCTATTGACGCCCAGCAAGATACTGTACGCCCAACATGTATTTCTGCCCAGTTGAACATCAAATGCCTACACTCCCAAATACTCCTAAGGATTACTGAGGAATACTACATACACTTAACAAAGCCCCATAATACCCTAAACCCTAAAACCCTAACCCTAAACCCCTAAACCCTAAACCCCAAAACGCTAAACCCTAAACCCCCAAACCCTAAACCGTCTCTAAGCACTGAATCCAAACCTACTTTATATGAACCATGGTTTTGTTCAAGGCTCCCTCCACAATCGGAAGCCCAGCATGCACACTCAACAAATTTGAAGGAACCGTATGTATAGTCCACCTTAAGTAGATAGAATAGGGCATATCATTGTGGTTATATTGGGATAATGGAAAAGAAAATGGAAACTCCTATTTAGGGTTTAGGGTTTAGGGTTTTTAGTCTCCTCAAGTAGATAGAATATGGCTTTGGGTACATTATAATAAGATCCCCATATACCCCATATGCTATCGACTTAAGGGGGACAATACACTGACCACCTACCATAATCAAAACCTAATTCATGTAGTATTTAAGGGAACCTTGGCGTTAGAGTCCATGGCGGCCTGAGCGATGAGGCTGCAAGGAAAATCTCAGAAGGCGTCATCTCTTCTGCACCTGGGAAGCTCTACATTTTAAAGGGACTTTATTGTGAACCCCAAACAAGGAACCCCAAGAATATCGCGGGAATATGATAGAATATACGAACCCTGGTAGGTATGTTCTTATTATATTCCTTCTATATTCTTGGGGTTCCCTGTTTGGGGTTCCCAATAAAGTCCCTTTAAATTTCAGAGGTCTGTCACACTCCTGATTAATCAGCCCACTCCCCTTGATAGCGATTATAACAAGGATCCAGGCATTTAGGCCGTGTAAAGGAGGGGGCGTATTAATCATGGGTCTACATTAGTCTAGATGAAGATGTCCCAGATGAGAGGTCCAGAAGAACTAGAGCTGGCAATCCCTGATATATAGCCCCCTTAAGTAAATAGCATACGGCTTTGGGTATATTACAAGAAGACCCCATCTACCCCATAATCTATCTACTTAAGGGGGGGCTATGAAGGCAAGAGAGGATTAGAATATGTCTGTAGGCAACTAGAAAGAACATCACTACTGTTGGAAATACTCAGTTAGCCTAGTGCACCTAGGGCTTACAGGACGTTCAATTTAGGTACATTGGGGCATAGACTGCGTGGATACTTGACCCCTCTGCAAGTCCCTGCGTGCAGTAAACAGTAAACGGCTTACCTAGACCTCAGGTCCTGTTCAAGGTCAGGTAGATACTTGTTACGGGGGCCGGTGTAGGAGTCCAAGAGGAAAACATTGAGTGCCACCTCCATGCCCCTGCGGGACCGATGGGCAGGCAAATGCCGGTACGTTTTCACAGGGTTGCTGTTAAGGAACTTGAACTCAGTTGCCATGATATGGGAATATAGCAACAAAAGCGCTTCCGTATTCTAGTAACTTCGTTTAAGCTCCTGAAAAGTAACAGTTTTCACAGGGTTGCGGAGAGTGGCTGCCCTTGGACAGAATCCCCTCCCCACCCTCCTGGCCTTCCGCATGAGCTGCAGTCAACATTTCCTACACAGCTTTACGGACATCAGTTCCTTACTAGGGACTATGCTAGGGACCATAATAAACTGCAAGAGGTGAACGCTATGTCCACTGTTAAGTGTCCCTGAATGCTAATATGGACGCTAGCACCAATGATGGATGGAAACAACAGCGGCACATCAACACCACATACTGCGTGTGACCCCATGTTTGCATGTCTCGCAGATCTTTCATACACAATGACGCGCTTCTCTTATCGGTTCTTAGTAGGGAATAAGGGAATATACCCCCTGGATAGTATTTTCCCCCAACGCGGGGAGAAAGCCCGATGTAGGGCCCCAAAAATCACCAACATCAATTTGATGTCTCGGTGAGGTCCCCTTTATCATAGTCATAGGAGGAATCTAGGACTACACTGTTGGCAATTGGTTAGGCGCCTATGACACTCAATGCAGCTGCTCCACAACCTCCCTCCGACGACTCGTACACTCCCGGAAGCTAACATGGAAACCCAAAAAGGGCCCCATAAAGACTACAGGCCTTCTAAAAGGGGGCTATATGGGTTTCCATGTTAGTTTGGGGGAGTGTAAAACTTAGCACCTGGCCAAACAGCACCGTACTCAGCAATGGCCAGATACTACCAGCCTCCGCACCCAGCTTAGGTGAGAAGCATATGTGACCTAGAGATATTCTAGGAGACCATAAGGGTATGTAATTACAGGGGAATTCATATATTATGGTATATATATATATAGAGGGTAGGACGCATTGCAGGCCCATTTTTACGCAGAAATGATGAGCTTTTTTGCTATTTTCCCAATGATTGTTTTTACGTTTCAAGCCGGAAGCGTTGTTTGTATTTATCCATAACTTCCACAGCATCAAGAAGGTATGGCTTAGGGATTGCAGATGTTTGCTACAAAAACATGGTTACATATTTCGGTCATGTATATTATTTTTGATGCAGAGTATCTTTTACGTTGATTTATATACACAACCATGCAAGCCCGCCACTGCGGTCAGTGTAAATCCGTTCATACATACACATACACACTTACACTCATACGTATATTTGTAAATACATACACATACATGCATACATACATATATGCACACATATATTGCAATATGTACTTTTATGTAGAATATTGCGTTCTGGGAGGGGGGGGTTCTTAATCCCTCTGAAGAAGTGCCGTAGTGCCAGTCATGACCAACCCATCTTTCCAGTATGCATTGCTTGTTATAGCGAGAGGTTGTACAGGAGTTCCCTTGTCCAATATACCATGTAGGAAATAAATCTCCATTCGCGTGGTACTATTTTTGAGGACCCCTTGCATAGCCAAATGCAATCACTGATGCCACACCACCTTTTTCCTATAGAGCCCATCCATGCATTGCTCAGACTATTTGTTGTAGAAGGCCAGGCTGTATGAATATTACTGTGAAAGTGCAATGTGGCAATTTTTCAAAAAGGAGATCTAATAGTTATATCCACCATGTCGGGAGAGGCCTCCCCTAGGATGTGAGCAGATCGTAAGAGCGGTACTGATGCGCCATTATACGAATCCAAGAACCCCAGTCCCAGGAAATTTTGATGTTTTGAATGGCACGAATATGGATAGCATGGCATATAGAGATTACACTGATCCCATTGGGTCGACCACACTTGATCTTCGTAGCAATACTAGATTGTCCATCATATCGCACTAGTTGTGTTAGGAGAGCTCTTGCCAGCCTGACTCATACATATGCTATATGTGCTACAACTAATGCTTACATAGATACATGCCGTTATATAGACACATGTCAACATATACATAGACTTGTATACACACACACATATATATATATACACATGGTCATCCCAGCAAGATCTGCCTTCAAAAGTCTTGGTTTCCAGTTGACCTATTGCTACACACATGCTGTCTTTATTTAAAACATATGAAAACACCGTAAATTACAGTGTTTTCAAAGCTTTCCAATAGATATTCAGCCTGGTAGGGTGAATGATTTGCAATAATGATGCGCTAGATGAGTCATAACCGGTTATAGGTGCATCCAGGGGCTATAGCTCTAAGGTTGTACCATTAGTCGTTGCATTAAGTATGTCGGGAGCAAACTCATCCCAGCATGTTTTTGAATATTTGGAAGGGATTCTTTCAATATACCACAACAAACAATACAGCGCATGTGGTGCCCCGAGCCGGTAGTCTAGCTAGTTGCATAGAAGCGGGTGCATATTTTGTATTCTACCCCCACGAACATTATATATGCCACTTCCATGGAAAAGTGCCATAGTACTGTTTATTATGTTCCATAGTATGCCTGGTTCAATGCTCGAATGTTAGTGCCATATCTATTAATTGAATATTTCCAATCCAGAGACATCTATTCATAATGTTTGAGTTAAATACTAATGTTACTAATGCACACCACACCAACGTTTTAGTATGTGCTGCGTAGACTTACGTGTATGCAACGTGCAGTGCTAGCATGTTCAGTCAAATCCACGTATATTGTAGCTGCATAGTTATATCCCTTTAGCAATCGAAGGCAACAAAAAACAAAGACACGGTCTGCCATGATTCTAGATGTATGTAAACATTATACGCCTGTAGGGAAGGCGCGGTGAAAGAGATTCGGCAGTGCAGGTTCCAAGGAAAGAAGGACAGAGAGACTCTTCTGGGTCAGGCCACAAGATCTGGTGGCCTGGCGGCTTAGGCTCTGAGCCTGAGAGAGGACGGGTGGGGAGCCTCTTTTTTTTTTCTCGCCCCACCCTCCCCTCTCCGGCCTACTGCTCCTAGCCCCAAGTTGTTTTCTCCTTTCTTCCGAAACCCAATTCTTCCTCTTTTAGGTATACCCGTACGTTTGAAAATTACAGACTCGCGCTTATCGGCTTGCTCAAGTTTCTGACAAAATCTGAATTCTTTTAAGGACAAAGTCGCACGCCCATACACACATACAAAGATGATATAAGAAAACATCAAAATACCATGCCATCATGATCATGTAAAAATGGGACTGCAATGCGTCCCGTTTTGTAAATATATATATATACACACACACACTATTGTATATTATCGCGTATTATGGTATAACAAAGTATATTATAGTATCTTAGAATAAACTATAGTATAATGTATATCAGGGGGTCATGGCTTTAACTTGAAAAACCCCACAAGTTGAGCTCTTACGGCTCAGGGATGTCGGCTGTTGAGTTGAGGCTTCTGTGTTTAGCGCTTCAGGCCTGGGGGGTGTAGGGTTTTTAGGCTTTAGGGTTTTTAGTTTTTAGGGTTTTCAGGGTTTAGGGTTTAGGATTTAGGGTTTAGGGTTTAGGATTTAGGGTTTAGGGTTTTTAGGGTTTATAGGGCTTAGGGAATTAAAGCCTACTGTAGGGACCCAAATATATGCTGATATCATGTTGGGATTTACTTGAGGTGCCCTATTCCAGAAGTCTTCGAGGAATCTTACACCGCAATATTGGTAATCATATAGGTTAGGTGGACTCCCCACC